TGCAAACGTTTATTGCAAAACCAGGAGTGATTTTAGGATTAATGATACTTAGGCCACACTGGCATTAGCATGAAATGCTAATTCATTAATATGAAACATGTCCCCCAAAAAATCATATGTTGAGGATAAGCAGAATCAGTCAAGAAGTGTCTAATCCAAAATGCCAGTGCCTACACTCCATGGAATCAGGGAATCATTGAATCACATAAAGATGTGAGTTGGAAAGAACCCTCTAGTTTCAACTCCTCTGCCATGGGTAAGGAATCCTCCACTGGCCCATCACCTTCACTCTGTTCTTTCAAATTTAACCCAAATCTATGAGAAAAGACGAAGAAATAGCATCCAATCTCTCCCTCCAAACCCAAAGATTCAGATGTATCTCCAGACAAATAAAAGATAAAGAGACTTATGATTCCCAGTTCCTAGATATATACAGATGTCAAAAAGGGTACAATACAGACTTCAGACAACTTTTATGCAAGACTCTAGACATTAAAAGAACTCTGCATTTCCACTTTGGTCTTTGCTTAAAGATTTCTGAGTTTGCTCCCTGCCCACCCCCCCAGTTTTGTAACACACAGATTTTAGAAAAAGCAAGAGAAATCCAGAAGTCCAGAAATCCATTTTGTGATTAAAAATGCCAGCAGTTCCTGGCACAAAAGAATTCCTGTTACACCTGAGCTCAAGAGGATGCAACTGATACAGCCCTAACAGGTGAAAGTTCCTGCACATGGGCAGCACAGCCAGCTGCCTGGGCTGGGGGGGCTCAGAGCACACGATGGAAGGCAGATCTGTTCTACAAAGCTCCCACAGAGACTTGCAGATGAAAAAGAGAGAATGGCACAGCTGAAAAAATAGACTTTTTTATCACTTTGTGGCTCTATTACCATTACTTTTGCAGACGTTTGCATTTGCACACAGCTCTACACAGACATTTAGAAAATTAGATGAACAGATAAGATGATAAAATAAATATGCTATTTTGCAGCAGGTTTTTTTTCAAACAGCTGCCAAAAAGCCGCACCCCTAAAGCTCCCACACTTAGCATTCTGGGAAAAGCATAATTTTCCATTATGCTCTGGTCTATTCTTTTTCTCCTCCAGTTTGTAACATTCTGCTGGAATCAGTGATGAAGAACATATGTTTGAGGCAAATTACACCCAGGAGAAATCCTGGAACTGTTACATTCAGTTTTATTACCCAAGGCATTAGAATACTCTAGACCTACACTTTTTATTTAACAGTTCCATCACACAAGACACCGCTAATGTAGTTTTATATTATTATGCATGCAAAACTTAGTATTGTATTTCTTGAAACTCAATGTGTGATTAATGCACTGCATTTTCATTTTATTTAACAATCCCACAATATTTTTTTGTGCTTCAATGAAACAAGGTGTTACATAAATGCAGAATGCTATTGTACAAATATTTGGGAAAACATATGTTCAGGCAACAGTAAGGTTGAGTATCCTAACACTCAACAGCCAGGAAATTGGAAGAGCTTGTGCTTCTTACACAATATAAGCTTGTGCAAGTGCTGCATCTTTAACATATTCTGCAGAGGCCTGTAACCTAGAGTGCCTTAGGGAAACCTAGTGTGGCCAATGGGACAGACAAGCCCTGTCTCTGACAATTGCTTTCTTCCCACTGCTGCAAATACCAGTCCAGTTTCACTAGGTAACACCAAATAGCACAAATATCCCCTGTGCACCTGTGGGCTGCCTCTTTTGGGGGAGATTTGCATTAGCTCTGTGAGGTAGTCACATAACTGGAGATTTCCTATAGGCATAGACTCATGCAAGCATCAGTAAGTTTACATTTAACAAGTATAACAGGAATAAAAGATAACTCATATAATCCTGACTATTACTTTGACTGATAATTTGATCTCAAAAGACAAGTCTTCTGAAGCTTTTAAAAGCTTTTTTGCATTGTGTTTCTCAAGTGACTCTATAGGAACAACAAATAAAACCAAGCAAAACGTGTACTTGTCAAGATTGCACAACTTCCATGCTTTGCAGAAAAGAAGAAAGCAAAAGGCTGAGGCAGCAGTTCAGAGTCACAGCTAAGATACGGCTTTTAATTTCAATTTCAATTTCAATCAACCACAGAGCCTTAGTACAGTGTTGGGCCCAAGCTAAAAACATCAGGCACCAGGTGCACAAAGTCCCCTCTGTTCAAAGACATGTAATCACAAATACCTCAAAATGTAATTTAATGACTTTCTGCTTCAAGTTCCAAAATGAGTCACAAAGCTGAGCACCAGTCCACTTCATCAACTGCGAACTGAGAGCCAGAGAAAGTTACTTGCTGAATATCGTAAGAGTCTCACTTACTTTATTGTACTTCTTCCTCATGTGAAGAATACTGAAGCTCTATTGTTCTAGTTCTCTGTGGTGTTCAGTGCATACAGTGAATGCAGACATGGCTCATAGAAAATACACTATGTAATCATGAAATTGAGGACTGTTCTACAGGAGTCAAATGATGGTTACATGGGAAAATTATTTACTGGCATTTCTCAAGTTTGAAATGCTTGGATTTGCAGCCTATGTATAATTACTTCTGTGTGCCTCTTTTTACAGGCAACAGTAAATTTTTCTATCTCTTGCTATGACTCAAGCTGTTCAATCATGGATTGCCAGAAGGGTTTGAAACTTCAGCATGGAGGAATGAGCCAGCAGGCACTGTCTTTCAAATCCATCCAATAACTGGCACAGTTTTGTCTCCTGATATATCACATTTAACATTCTTCCTAATACTTACCTTCATGGACAGGTGAAAATAAAAGTCCATAAGCATTTTGCTTTGCCCTGATCATGAATGAATAATTCTAAGCATTACTGAAATTTATTTTAGTCTAATTAACTTTTGTGGCCCTTTAAGAACATAAAAAAGGTTTTCTTGTTTCTGACTTCAAAATAAAATGAGGGCAGAACACTGCAGATCTGGAACGTAATCTGTCCAGACTCATGGCTGTTGCTAACTTGCAGAGCTGTGCTGACTTTGTGAAAATATGCCAACCTGCATCTGCTAAAAGGAATAGTCAGTCTGTAACTCATAGATGATCTGCTGGTAGCAGGATATGTCTTGGCACTATATCTATGACTGTACAAAAAGGAGAAGCCGTCCCTGCTCTCTGTTCCCTGACTTTCAGCCCTGCTACAAAGAAAGTCCTGCTGTGCCTTTGAAGGAAAACTTGTGGATGGTCCTACAGTTCTGACTTGCTTTGCCTCTCAAGTAGCAAGCAAGCTACCTAAGGTTCAGAGGGCAGCAGGCTGTAGAACACAGGTGTGGCAAAATAGAGATCAAGGAGGAGTAGGTCTAAGGCTGGTCCAGGTTTAAGCTTTGCCAAATCAACTGTACTGCAAATACAGCAATTTGCAAATTCAGCAAATTCCACTAGCACTGACAAAGCAAATGGTTGGATAAATAAAGGCTTGAAAACTACCTATGAAGTATTTATACAAGGCCCTAGACATTAAAAGTTGAATGAAATACTAGAAATTTCATGTGATACTTTGCTGCCAACACGATGTTTATTTCTGGTTATGACAATAGATGTTGTTTTCCTTTGCCCTCTCCCATGAATACCTCAAAATAAGTAATATATAAAAACAAAAAATGCTGAAGAACCAAAAAAATATCAAGCAATAAGTATGCAAAAAGTATGCAATACTATCACCTGCCTGTGCAGACTGCACAGACATGGTTGTGCTAAAACACAGATACAGAAATATAAAGATGCAAATTTTATCACATAATAATGATGGGCTTGGTCTAAAACTACCTGTACTGGGTTTCTCTTCAACTTTTCTTAGCTACTGGGCTGAAGTTTTAGAGACAAAATCTTCACAGACTTATATTAAGCACAATGAAGAGAAACTGACAAAACTGATTTAAAACTTGTGATTATTGGAGAAAGGGAAAAATATGAAAACAGAGATTTAGAAATTACTACAACCCATCCACTAGAAGACAACACTGAAGTTGTGAGGGAAGCACCATTTGGTGGACAAGCTGTGCAGTACATATTGAAAAACAGGAAGGCAAAAGCCTACCTGAAGCCTGAAACACTGTGGGCACTGTGGCCAGGAGTATTAAAATAACACCACAGTGCAAAGATGACTGAGTGCCCCCATTTCTACCCTAGACTTTTAACTATTACAGTATTTTACACGCAAAGCAACAGCAGACCAATGAGACCACACCTGTATTTTGAATTAGAAGTGCCCACAGGGAATAGTACCAGAATAACCAACAGCACTTCCCTTGAGACTCCTCACTTGGGTCCATTCTTGGCAAATGTTTTCAATTGTAAGCTCCTCTCAACATCTTGATTTATGCTCATATGTTCCTCAACTTAAAGATGACCTGGTCAATGACCTACTCAATATTACTAAAACCCAAGAAAACTGATAGCAGAAAGTGAGATCCCCTCTGTCATGCTAAAAAAAAGGCTTAGCATGCTATTTTTAAAGGCTAATGTTCATGTTGTTTCAGCAAAAGGCTCAGTGTTGGTTTTAGACACATTTCTTCTTTTATGCCAGACAAGCCAGCTTCTTGTATTCACAAAGCAACTGTGGTTCACTGAACATGTTTCCAGGATTAATTCTGACTTCCCAGGGTCAACTTTACACCAATCAATGGAAGAAATTGTGGAAAAGATTACCTTATGAAAACACACAAACTTAGCCAACCTTTAACAAAAAGAACAACTTGCAGAGCTTTCATCAGACTCAGCACTCTTCAAGGACAGCCTGTCAGCATTTGGCATATATGAACATAGGAGATGGAACAAATCTACAGGAAATCCTTGTGCTTACTCATGTATTCTCAGCACCACAGAAAAGACAAGACATTTTTACACACTTCTCCCAGTTCACATGTTCCCAGACATCCAATTTCTCACCACACAAGCAGAATCATACCTGTAATTTCCCAGTTCACATGTTCCCAGACATCAAATTTCGCACCACACAAGCAGAATCATACCTGTAATTTTCTGCAACAAAGGAGATGGCTCTGGCTCATCACAAATTGCCTTGACGAGGGCTTTTTTCACCTCTTCTTCAGCTGTGTCCAGCTCTTTTCCACATTTGATTTCTCCAACCACAGAATATATGTATATCAGCAAAACAAGGAAGTCCTCACAGGCATAATCATCTTTTGTCCTTTCATTGTAGGACTTGATCATTGGCAATAACTGGTTCAGAACACTGGGCATTTCTGACTCACCAATAGTCTGGAAAACAGAAGGAAGAGAGTGTCAGGTTGTCTCCATAGTGCTTATAAGTTGGGACCAGACTTACACATGTGGCATATCATTCAATATTCACATTCTCAGTAGTCAGTAGATGGTGATGGGATTTATTTGCTGCTCAGACAGTGAATTTATTACTTGTCTACAGTTTTTTTCTTAGGGATTCAAGATAGCAGCATTTTAGCACTTGAAAAGCCTTATGATTTAGATCTTCTCCAAGTACCAGTATGGTGAGAGGATGAGAGCAACATACCTTGCTACGGGTAGAAATGGTACAAAGCACAAGGTCAAGCAGTTCCTCCAACTTTTAGGCTTCATCCTTGGGTCTGATTTTGTACATGAGCAGGGGGTTCAAAGTCCAGCTTCCATTGACTTGCTGACATCCAGATCATGCAACACTAGGGCTGGCATTTAGATCCATGTGCAGGTCTCTGCCACTCAGAACAGGCCAGTGACTAATTGTCCCATCAAACTGCCACCCTCACTGCCCACAAACACCTGTGGATGAAACTTCTACCCGCTAATTTTCTGCTTTGGCTTAGCTGGGTATCAGCTGCAGGATCAGGTGAGAAGTGGGAACATTGCAAGGCAAACAGGAGGAACACTCTGCTCTTGTATGGGGAGGGAGATGTGGGAGGAAAGAACAGTCTTTCTCGCCTTGTGCTAGCAATTGCTCAGATCCAACCAGGAGGTCACCTGCAACACCAGTATCCTGCCCCTCGTCCTGTGATCACCTAAAAGATCCCCCTGTGAAAACCTGTGCGTCAGCTCATAGTATACAGTGAAACATCAAATCTCTTGTAATCCAAGCAGTCAAGTCTGCAAACATTTATTCTTGATACTACAGTAACTTCACACAGACTAGTCATTGTAAATAGCCACCACAGCCAACAATATACCCTTTAAATTAATTCACAATAAGTAAATAAAATACAAATCAAACATACTAGGAAGAGACACAAGTTTATACAAGAAAAAAACTATGCAATAGCTTTAGGAACACAGAAACTGAAAGCTTTATCTCCTGGTGTACTCCATACTTCATACTTCGTACTTCAGGAGTTGTATTTTCAGTTGTTCTTTGTCAGTCTCAGAAACACTAACATGCATCTCATAAACTGTAATTTTTATACCTACACTGATCTACCACAGATCTCAATCATTAAGAAACCATGAATTACTTAAGCTCCAAGAAACCTTTTTCCATGCTGTACTTACATGGACTTTTGTACCCCACCCTGCTCTTGACATACAAGTTTTGCCATGGATCTATCCTTCATGGGACTTCAGTGTCAGGTCAGGTATTATGTTTCCATTTGAATACATATCTTGGAGAAGAATTTTCTGACTATCCACAAAACCTACCAGTAAGTGCAACTGCAGACTTGAAGCAATAAATTACAAAGCTGCAGTGGTCAAAAGCATGTGAGAGCCAAGAAGGAACATTCTGAAATCTAGGAGGTGTTGGCATCCTCTGTGTTTGGGCAGGGAGTGCTAAATCACATACACAGTAAGTCCAAGCCCTGCTCCACCCAGGAAGCAAATCTTTGGTGTTTTGCACCAGTCTGGCATGTGGTGGTAGTGGGGCCATCCTCAAGACAAGGCTGTTTGATTCTTGGATTTCAACTCAGCCCTGACTTAGTCGAGTATTACCTCTTCTCTTCTTGAAAAGTGACACAAGTAAATTCTCATTTGGATGCCAGTACAATAAGTATCAGACCTTTCATATCCTACGATGGGAAAAAACAAAGCTTCAAGGAATTCAGAGGTATGCATCTATCATAAGGAAGCCATCTGCAATGAGCAAAAGCCTAATCAGCCCTAAAAAATCTAAGAAATCAAGATAAACCTATATGTGGAATTATTCTGGAATAGATGACGAACTTTGGTCTATATGAGCCTGAATTCATTTATGTGAAGAGGCAAGGTAAGACCTATGCCAGGTATTACTGAGCATCATCTACTACCTACTGGTGCATCATCTCTTCCCCTCCTCCCCTCCCAATACACAGACTCTACTTCACTCCATCTCTGAAGATGCCATTGTGTGCTGCTACACCACCGAAGACGAGTTCTTGATAAAGCTGTATTGTGCATGCACGAATTATCCACAGGCACAGAGCACTGGGGTGTACATGGTTGTATAGAATAGTAGAGTGAAAAACTCCTGCTTGAGGATCACAGCTCCTGCAAGTACACATGTACAGCATCTTTGGCAAACTTTCAAACATACATGATTTAAAAAAAATCATGTCTAAACTTGCAGGGTGATTTACTGTAAGACAGGCTAAAACTCAACAACTTCAAGTAACAATTGCCACCTCTTATCTTCAAAGTAAAAATGAAAGAAGAAAAAAAAAATTAAAGAGCTGTAATAAACCATTAACTTCAGAATGCACATAGGGTCTTTCTGGGGTATGAACTTCTCTGGAATGTTTCTCCCCTTATCTCCTGGGAAATGGCACCACAGAGGACTTCAAATGGAACTTCGAAGTTGCAGAGGCTATTTTGTCCAAACAGACCAGTTGGACTGGACCGTGCACAAAAAAAAAAAATGGGACTCACAACCTCACTGCAGAGCATGGCTCCATAGGGAGCTGGGAAATTTGCCTCAAACAAAATCCACTGGCAGATTGTCATTATCTGGCCACCTCCAGTGATTTAGGGGCTCCCTGCACCACCTAACAATCAATCAATTACCCTGATTTAACAGCCCTAGAACAAAAGTTTTAAAAATGTAACTACCCATGACCCAAATTTCCTGCTGGTTATGTTGGCCTCAAGTTAGCCCCGTTTGTCTATCATCAAGGGAGCCAATAAAAATAATAAAAACAGGTCAATTCTGAGCTTTCCAAAGACTGTATAAAAACATTAATGCTGCTTAATGCAGAGCCAGCTAAAAGGCCCAAGCTCGAACACTTTCTGCTTGGTTGCATGGTTTGGACATTTTAATGCTCTAATCATATATTCTCGAGAATTCAGGGAGAGTTTGTGACAGATTTTTATTGTTTTCTGTCTCTTTTCTCCACCCTCTTTAGTTACTTATTTTTAGAACTTAAGCAGTGTAATAATTTGATGTCCCTAAAGATAAATAAACTGATGCCAATTTGCTGAATTTTGCAAAAGACCTGAATTTTGGCAGATTATAGTGAAGAAAGTACAAACATATTTTTTGGGGGGGGTTTAAATGCTGAACATGACATTTTGCTTCAAAATCTTATTTAAAATCTTATTTATAGGATCTACAGGAATTAGGAGGAAGTGTAATAACCCAAGAAAAAATTCTGTGAGAGGCATTATTTTCAGTATTAAAAAACCCTGTAAGAATCTAAAGCCATATGTATCATTAGTCTTATTTTACACAATAGAAAACAGAGTGAGTTTGGGAGGAAGAGAAGATGAGGGTCAGAGTTTACTTAAATTAACGTGTGTCCCTGACAAAACTTAGAACTGAGCACTGTAACCCCTGTGCTTCCAACCCAGTGTCCTCAACACGTCATTAAAAATATTAAAGCAAAAATCAACTTCAACCAAGTGGAATTTATTTTCTTTAAAATCCAGGAGGAAGGAGGAGATAAATCTTGAGAGACTACTTCACTATGTAAATATTCTAGTGGCTTTCCATTCAGGAAGCAAAACATGCTTAATTCCTTCAGGGGTCACATGAGTTAAACAGAACTTCTTGGAATGGGAACCACACAGCTTTACACAGATGAAGAATTTTATTGGAGACAACCAAAATTAAAAAACAACCCCAAAACCCAGCTGCAGGTAAAACCAGCAGAAGAATCAGTGGAAACTCACAAGCCCTTGGGTAATTTGCTGCTCTATGTTCCTGGACTGGCCTATTTAATAAAAGCTCCTTTTATTGATAACTTAGGTGGGAAAAGAGATGTGGAATAAGCAGCTTTCCACTGTTGCCCTATTCGATTTTTCATATTTTACCTGGGCTTGACTTTTTGTGGTTTGTGATTTTGCCACACTGTGTATTAACTTTCCCACTGTCCAGACAGAGGCAAGAACATTCTAACTGCTATAAGTGACAATGGCACCAGAAGAGGACCTCATGGGTATGTGAAACTGGCTCAGATCCTTTGATGGTAATAGATCTCTGCAGCAATAGTCATTTTAGTGAAAACAACAGGCGCTGCCAAGCTAAGGAGGAGTCCTTGCTGCCTGCAGTGCTCAGCTGCCCATAAATCAAATGCTGCAGTTCTGCTTCGTGCTGTTTTACACTGTTTGGCCATCTGAGATTTGGGGTTGATTGCACATAATTTCCATATGGGTGGGAAGATGTCTGTACTCCCTGCAAAACAATTATATCATGTGTTAGTTTTTATTAAATGGCCTACAGGTGACTAGTGATTTGACAAAATAAATCAGTTAAGTATGATCTTACCATTCAAATTATGATTTGCTATGAAGCTCTAGAAATCATTATAATTATTGATTTAGGCAGGTTTCGATAAAAATGCACCTCTGCTTTGTCTTCTCTTTACATATTCTAGGGTATGATTCAAGAATAAGCAACCCAGAACATGATTTAAAAAAAAATAAGTTCTTAAAAGTACCACACTCTCACCATTAGAAAAACACTTCAGTCTGTATTTGTCATGATATAGACCATGCAGTTCAGACAGGGGATTTTAGATAACCACAGTCCACTGTCTATATTTTCCTTTTGCAGGAAGTAAAATTTTAGTCTCAAAATTATGTTTCCAGCTGGGGAGGGGCTGACAAAGCCTCTCCTTGCAGGGAGAATGAGCAAACTTTGCCCTTAGGGGAAAGCAGACAAAGCATTGAGTGAACTCACAGCAGACTGAGAGTGGAGGTGTAAGATGCTGGCAGTAAATGGCTGCCTCCAGTTAAAAAAAAAAAAGTGTAAGCCATTAAAGGTCAGGAGAGACATCAACTGCCTTTTGTTGGAGACCAAAACAGCTTTATGACTTGCCCCTGCCAATACCAAGCAACTGCATCTTCCT